CCATAACCCCCTCCCCCCCCCCCTGCCAAATGAAAGTTTTCAGTTCACGGCTTTGTCTGCGGATTTGGGCAGTTCTTGGCGAGCGCAGTCCAACCCTGCTTTCGGGGGGGGGGGAAATGAAAAAAATGGACTGGTTTTGGGCCCAACCGGAATTCTGGTTGGAGGACCTGGGTCGAATCGACCCGGTTGGATCCGGGCCAGTCCAACCAGCTGGTTGGCGGTGCACCCCTGATTTGTACTGATAATGGATGCCTCGGAGATCAAATTATTCTTTCACAAATTCACATCCTTGATTACTTTCTGTTTCTTTCATTATTTTTCACTTCTTTGTTCTTAACTTGAAATGGGTTAGCTCCTAACATTAGTGTATTTAAGTTAATTTAACCGATTCCAAGTCATTCCATCAGGATTTGAATTTTGAACTGACGACCTGTTTATTCAACTTTATTGACAGTTACATGCGTGTATCATTCAGCCACATGCCTGGGTAGACAGTAGAGTAGCCTATTCATGCCATGATGATCATCCCTTTTACCGTTCGTGGCAGTCAAAACTTCTCTTAAAAGTCAAAAGCATGATCTCCTTGTTCTGCTGAAAACTAGTAAAACGGTTTTCGTACCTTTTTGCTGGAACTGCAGCAATTGAGCATGGTGTCATGCCAAGGTCCGTACGATACCAACAAAAGGTCCACCGTCATATTGCCCTTTGTTTGATCTTTGTATAAAGGTATCGTATGGACCTTGGGATGACTTCATCGTAGCTCATAACTTCATATCCATTTGCTTTTGCTTCGTATTGCTCTTCATTTCGTTTTTATTTCAGTGTTTTTTGAACTTTTTCTTTTTCAATTGGGGAAAACAGAAACCCATAGTCCTGGATCTAATCTATTTTGGTGAACACTCTTTATTAGGTTGTCAATGACTCTTATATTATTATATATATCTCTTCTCTTCTCTATACTCCTAAAGCAAGCAAAGGGCCCAGCGTGACGCGTCCCGCCGGGCCCAGTGAAAATCGGTGTGGAGGGGCGCGCGAGGAAAGCGGACGCGGCGTTTCGTGGAGGCCCGGGGCAAGGGAATAAGGGCGCGGCGTTTCGTGGGGGTACGGAGCCGGGATGAAAAGATCCGGCCAGCGGTCGGTGTTGGTCGGTGGCAAAGGGGAACGGCCCCAGCGGTGGCAGGCAGCGGTCATTGGACAACGGCGGGCCGATTTTTTGTCAATGCAGTCGCGCGGGGCCGGAGGAAAATCCCACGAACTGTCATCGAGGTGTCGGTGCACAGCGCCGGGGGCCAGGTGCAGCGTCTCACCTTTTGTGGGGCGCAATTGTCTTCGTAGTCAGGGGTGAGCACCCCGTAGGTCAGCAGTCAATGTCTAATCGACAGCGCGGTGGTCGTTGCTACACAAAGCCGCCGTATGTGTGGCCCGTGAGGCATGATCGAGGAGAGATGGACGGACGATCGATGGAGGTGCGACTTCTGTGTCTGCGGACTTGCTACGTGGTATAGGATGAGGAGAAAAAGGAGGATGAGGGATCGAGGAGGGATGGGATGATGAGCATGAAGGTGCGATTTCTCTGTGTATGCATTTGAGACACGCGCACAAAGAAAAAAAAAAAAAAAAAAAAAAAAAAA